GGATTGGATGTTGGCAGGAGGCGGGGGTGAGGGAAAAGGAAGGATCGGGAATGATTTTGAGCAAATGGAAGGATGGTGATACCATTCCTGAGATGGGGAAGACTGGGGAGTAAGGAGACAAGATTTGGTGATGAGGAAGGGATGTGACTCAAGAGTTTTGCTTTGGATGTGTTAAGCTGCAGATTCTATTAGCGTGGTGGCTCACACCTGTAATCCCAGCACTTTGGGAGGCTGAGGTGGGCAGATCACCTGAGGTCAGGAGTTTGAGACCAGCCTGGCCAACATGGCGAAACCCTGTCGCTATTAAAAATATAAAAATTAGCCGGGCGCAGTGGCAGGCGCCTGTAATCCCAGCTGCTTGGGAGGCTGAGGCAGGAGAATCACTTGAACCCGGGAGGCAGAGGTTGTAGTGAGCCAAGATCTTGCCACTGCACTCGCCTGGGGGACCCAGCCAGACTCCGTCTCAAAAAAAAAAAAAAAAAAAAAAAAAACAACTATCAGATCTCGTCAGACTTACTATCATTAGAGTAGCATGGGAAAGACCTGACTATGCTGTTTAATTACCTCCCACTGGGTCCCTCCCATAACATGCTGGAATTGTGGGAGCTATAATTCAAGATGAGATTTGGGTGGGGACACAGCCAAACCATATCACAGATTTTCACGAGATAATCAGGGACTGAAATATCCAGTAGGAGCTGATCTGGGTGTGCGAGTATGAAGTATGGGTATCACAGAATAGAGAGGATATCCAAATCCTGTGGGATAGATGAGGTACTGAATGGTGATATTTCCCATGCCTAGTGAAAACAGCTCAAGCTGCTTGAGCTGTTTTTGGATTGGGGCTCAGGAATCTGTATTTTTAGCAAGTGATTCTGATACAGGTGATCCATAGGTCATACACTGAGAAACATTGAGTCTGGAAAGACTTCTGGCTGGACTGAGAATTTGCTGCTTCAAGATTCTGGCGGTAGCAGAACTGTAGCACCACAGTTATTTTACTGCAAGATATCCATTTGAAATATATTTATGCCACCAAGGACCAGGGAGGTGAAATGCTACACTTGGCGCCATGAAACTATTGTCTGAGCTTGTTTTTTGGAAAAATCCATATCTGGATGATGTGACTGAGTCATCAGCAGTGCCTGGCTGGCTGTGTTCTAATAGGTCAGATGTAACTTAAGCCCCAAAGTTCTTAGGACAGCCATAAATTAGTCTGAAGGTGGCTGAGATAAAGCAAGGGTACTTGTTGCCCTCAGATTAGAATCAAGGGCAACAAAGTTGCCTGGAAATCGGAAACCTAGGAGAAGCTTTAGACCAGAGACAGGCATCTATACTTTCTGAGAATTTTACTAACAGAAAAATAAGGAAGATACAGAATCATGTTTATCAAACTTGAGGATTTATAAGAAATACCTGTATAGCTTCTTTATTTTCGTTTATTTTTATTGTTATTTATTTATTTTTAAGACAAGGTCTTGCTCTGTTGCCCAGACTGGAGTGCAGTGGCTCAGTCACAGCTCACTGCAGCCTCGGAGTGGGCTCAAGCGATCCTCCCATCTCAGCCTCCTAAGTAGCTGGGACTATAAGTGTGCACCACCACACCTGGCTAATTTTTTTTTCCCCCATAGAGATGGGATCTCACTGTGTTGCCCAGGCTGGTCTGGAGTTCCTGGGCTCAAGCAGTCCTCCCACCTAAGTCTCCGAGAGTGCTGGGATTCAGGCATGAGCCACCATGCCTAGTGTGAATAGCTTCTTCAAAATGTAAAATCCTGTGCTTCCCCTCCCAGGGAGTCTGATTAAGTAGCTTTGGGTTGGGGCTCAGGAATCTGTATTTTTCGCAAGTGATTCTGATACAGGAGATCCATAGGTCATACACTGAGAAACATTGAGTCTGGAAAGACTTCTGAGATCATCTAGTTAGCCCTTTCTTAAAAATGGGGAAATTAAGGTCTAAGGAGGAGAAGGGGCTTGCCCAAAGTTGCAGAACAAGTTGCAAAGTCAGTGCAGCTCCACTAACTTACATTTCTTCATTTTGCAATTTACTCTTCATCCTAGTGGCTAGATGAAAAGCAAGTCTACCCTCCTAATTCCCAGCTCCCCTTCTTTCACACTATTTTTTATTTTCTTTTTTTTCCAGAGCACCTTCTAATATGATAATAATTTACTAATTTACTGTGTTTATTGCTATTTTCCTTGCTTCACTAAAATGTAAGCTTCACAAGGGCTCTGATTTTTGTTTGTTCGTTTGTTTTCAGTAGAGTAACCTATGTGCCTCGAACAGCACCTGACCCATAGTAGGTGTTCAATGAGTATTTATAAATAGATGGGTGAAAAATATTTTGTTCAACTGTACGTAAGTTAACAGGTATTATGTACCAGCCCTTAGGCATTAGCACAGAATAGAGTAGAATATTTTCTTTTTCACGTTTGATTCTAGCTTGAAATACAGGTTACAGAAACAGCTTCTTTATGGAAGGTTAATTAGAGACCAATCATATATACAATAATAATATGAATAAGAATAGCAACAATAACAACAGTGATAACTTCCACTTATGGAATATTTATCTGCCCAACACATACCATATGAAGTTCTGAGCTAAGACCATCAGACCATTGTCTCATGTAAGTCTTAGTACAGCCCCAGGGTGGAGGAACGAACTAGTATTGTCTGTTTTCCAAAGGAGGAAACCGAGGCTCAGGACGTGAAATTACTGTTTAAGGTTACATAGCCAGTATAGATTTAGGACCTGTGATCCCAAAGATTACCTTCTTAACTACCAGTTACATTCAGTAGTAGGCTTGGGGAATTCTCTCTTTGCAGAAGGAATTGAAAATGCCAAAGACTAGGCAAGCATTGCTATTCGGGGTGTCCTTGGGCCAAGAACACCAACCTCTAAGGTAGTATAAAACCACAGGCTGGAAAGATGCATTTTTTTTTTCAGCCCAACTTTCCAGCATTTACCCACACTCTCAAGTCTTCCATACTCACATTACAAAGAACCTTTCGTCTTGAACTATTACGGTTTTCTCACTTCTCAGACACCCTCCCTGAAGCAGGCCAAGGAAAATTCCTGTGGTGACAGGCCATTTCTAGGGAGGCCACTGTAGCACTTCACACTTGCTCTCACTCCACCCACTCAAGGAAGGGTAGACAGACAGAGGGCCCTTCACCCAGCTCCTATTCTACTTTCCTGTGGAGACCTCAGGAAGGGGCCAAGGATCATGATTTTCTAAATGTGGGCACAACAGACCTCTTGTAACACTTTGAGTTCTTGAAACACTGTACCTATTAAACTGGTTGTGAGCACACAGAATAAAGTATCACCACCCACTGTGGATAATGTCAGCATTCATTCCCACCCCTGACAGCCAAGACTGGCCTGGCTTGGAATCATTGAACACTCCACACACATGGCAGCAGAGCCCCTTGCCGCACAGCTGCAGACACAGGTTGAACACTGGTGCACCCATGGGCTTTTATGAAGAGAGAGGCTTATAACACCCACTGCTGTCTTTACACACACAGTTTACCAGGTACTGTGCTGAGAACTTTACAGCTGTGATTTCATTTAATTCTTATAATACATGTGATGAGGCACTGCTGTCCCACTTCTGTAGATGGGGAAGGCCTGGAGAGATTGGTAACTTGACAGAGTCTCATGGCATCTGCAACAGGCAGAACCACATTTTAAACAAAAAGGTTGAGTTAGTTCTAAAGCCTGTGCTTTGCTAGTCTGCTCTTCTGCAACACTAGTTAAGAGCATGGACTCTAGAGCCACGCTGCCTGGATTTGAGTCTTTTTTTTTTTTTTTTAATTGAGATGGAGTCTCGCTCTGTCGCCCAGGCTGGAGTGCAGTGGCCGGATCTCAGCTCACTGCAAGCTCCGCTTCCCGGGTTTACGCCATTCTCCTGCCTCAGCCTCCCGAGTAGCTGGGACTATAGGCACTCGGCTAGTTTTTTGTATTTTTTTAGTAGAGACGGGGTTTCACTGTGTTAGCCAGGATGGTCTCGATCTCCTGACCTCGTGATCCGCCCGTCTTGGCCTCCCAAAGTGCTGGGATTACAGGCTTGAGCCACCATGCCTGGCCAGATTTGAGTCTTGACTCTGCCATTTACTAGTTGGGAGACATTGGGCAGGTTACTTAGCTACCCTCCTCCTTGGGCTGTTCATCTGTAACATTTGCATAATAATGTCCTCGTAGCATGGGTTGCTGTGAGGATTAAAAGAATCCATATATGTAAAGCACTCAGTGTCTGGTGCATACAAAGCACTAAATGCTAGTCATTATTATTAATTTATGTATCAATTCCTTTTTTCCCTCTGGATGATAGAAATTAATCTCAGAAGTTTGAGGTTTTTCCAATTACCCACCCTTACCGCCAACCCCTGCCCAAGGGTTGCGTCTGTATTCCCAAGGGACTTAGAGCGTTACCTGGCATATAGTAGCCTCAAGTAAATGCTGGTGATGATAATAGGACAGTGCCAAGACATTGGGGGTGTGGGAAGGCAAGGTTAGGGGATGGCATCTGCACCTCGTCAGCATCTATCTTCCATGGTGTATCCTGAAAGTGGGAAAGGCGCTGTCCGGATAGATGCTCATCTTGTGGACAGAACAAAACCGGGGAGGCAACCATTATTTCACATACAGCAAGTTACCGTTAATGCCCTAACAGTGAATCTATATTTAATTAATTTAAAAGATAGGGGAGGTAAGAGTATTTATTCACTATAAGTTCTTGGTCAAGGCACATTAAATCAAAGCGGTTAGCACTTAGAACTCTCCCGGGGATACATTGTCTCAGACAAGCTTCAAGGTATGCCTTTCTTTGGAATGAATTGTCACTTTCCAACCACCACCACCCAACCTGTGAGCTGACCACAGTGTCCTCCTCCTGTCTCCCTTCCCTCTGGGTGCCTGGGAAGGCTGGGCTTCTCCACTGTTCTGCCACCGACGTAAGCTTTGTCGTGACGATACTTTCCACTTCTCTTCTAGCTTAAGAGTTGGACAGTGGAGGACCTTCAGAAGAGGCTCTTGGCCCTGGACCCCATGATGGAGCAGGAGATTGAAGAGATCCGGCAGAAGTACCAGTCCAAGCGGCAGCCCATCCTGGATGCCATTGAGGCTAAGAAGAGACGGCAACAAAACTTTTGAGCAAGGCCAGGCTGTGAGGGCCCCAGCTCCACCCAGGCTTTGGGTGAATTCTGGATGGCTTGCCTCACATCTGTTAGCCAGCACTTCTACTCTGTCGTCTCTCCACAGCACCTTTGTGAACTCAGGAATGTGCGCCAGTGGGAAGGGCTCTCTTGACAGCCAGCGTGCCATCTTGATGTGTGTATGTACATTGGTCAGGTATATTATTTCAAAGGATTTATATTGGCGCTTTTAACTCAGAGTTTTAAACCCCAGGAACAGAGACTCCTAGTTGAGTGATAGCTGGGAAAGTTTTACGTTGTCTGTTTGCTTTTCTTCTCCCAATAGCTTTCAATTGTTCTTTCTGGAAGACTTTTAAAATATATATAAATATGCATATATATATATAAATTATAAATAGATTCCCCACTCAGTGTGGTGGCATCTCTGTACAGGTACAGTTTTAAACAGTTTGCCTCTTCTGTAAGATTATGGTACTGTGGAACATGAGGGCAGAGGACACCGGGAGGTTGTTAGGGGGTCACTGAATCCCAGGAGCCAACCTCCCCCTTTGCAGGGCTGCATTTAAAAATTAGGTTTGGGACAGTTCTTTTACCATGGTTTCAGCCTTGTGTGGTCATCACTGGCTTCTGGAGCTACTGTTGATGTCCAAGGGAAAGCTTTGAGAGTTTGTGTTTACTCTTTGAGTCCCAGGAGAAGCCTGGTACCCTCTTTGCAAATTGGCCTTTGCTCTTTCAATGCCTTTCATCCATCTCCACTCTCTCAACTGCCTAAAGTCACAGCACAGATACTGCCCAGTGCCTTAAGAGGAGACATGATCCACTGAGGGGATAGGTCTACCAGGAACTCTCAGCAAACACGGGGCTGTGTTCAGTCCATAAAGGAAAAGCATTTTCAAAGCTCTCATTGTTCATGTAAAAATCATACACGTGGCATTTTGCTCCACATTCCTTACACACAGGGGTAGAGAGGATTGCTTTTGTGACCCACATTCAAATATGTGACTGTTTTCTTTTCTCTTTCACTGCTAAGCAGCCTGGAAAGGATAAATGAATATTAGACTAAGATTTGTTCTCCAGGAGGCTCAACCTGAACTGAACACATAGAATGTCAGAGCTGGAAGGGACTATAGAGATCATCTGGTCTGACCCTCTTGTACGGATGATCAGAAAACTGTGTAGAGGGGAATGGCCAAAATCACAAAGCAAGTTAGCATAAGAGCTCGGACTAGAATTCAGGGTCCTCACTCCCAGGCCACCGAACCATGCAGCCCCTTCTTTGGGGGAAGAGACCTGTGTCAGTCTTGGTTAATTATTCCAGGGAACCTTGCTAACAGAAACTTACTCTTGCCTTGTCTCTTCAGTAGGTATGACCTGGCTGTAAAAAGATTGCCTAGACGAGCCAGATCATTCAGTTTCAGCAAGTCCTTGAGCTCCACAACATCTGCCAGATATAGCAGACAAGCACCCATGGAGGCAGGTTTCGGGCCTGAAGCAAATCAGAGGGCTTTGCAAAAGACAGCATAGAGCCATCTTCCTGCAACTTTACCTCTTTCCCTCAGATGGGGAGCCATGACTGGCTTGCACCTCAGGATACTGTAATTTGACTCCATAATTGCTTTTGCTCCTGAAACCTGGGAATCAATGGAAAGGCAGGGAATGTGCCTCTTCTGTGGCCAGATTCTGTTATTTGCAATTAAAGCAAGTTTTTAAAAAATGCAAGAGGCAGTTGTTAGTCTTCAGGGTTTGGCCACTGAAATAGCTATGTGGCAGATACTGAAAACAGAGGACAATTTGAGGATCTTGCTGGAATAATAAATGGCAGCTACCATTTGTTGAGCACATATTATTATATCAGGCACTGAGCTGGGTAGGCTCTAAACTTCACAATAACCCTATGACTTAACTACTTTATCTCCATTTTGTAGATGAAGAAATAAGTTCAGAGAGTGATTCCTTCCCAAGGTCATGCAGCTAGTAAATGGCAGAATCAGGACTCATAGCATCACTATAGGGGATCAATATTTACACAAAAAAGGAGAGTCACAAGCCTATTTAAAATAAAGTGACCACCTTTTCTTGCATAGACTAACTCTAAGTGGCATTTTTAGGTTGGAAAGACAGCTGAATTAGTTAAGTCTGATTGCCAAGTAAGTCTTAAAAACCAAAGCATCCACGATGCATACCCCTGCACCATTTGCTGTGCGAATTAATAGTTTTGTCTCTCTCTCTCTCTTTTCTCTTTTTATTTTTTGAGACGGATTTTCGCTCTTGTCGCCCAGGCTGGAGTACAATGGCATGATCTTGGCTCACTGCAACCTCCACCTCCTGGGTTCAAGTGATTCTCCTGCCTCAGCCTCCTGAGTAGCTGGGATTACAGCATTTGTCACCATGCCTAGATTTTTTTTTTGTATTTGTAGTAGAGATGGGGTTTCACCATGTCAGTCAGGCTGGTCTTGAACTCCTGACCTCAGGTAATCCACCCGCCTCGGCCTCCCACAGTGCTGGGATTACAGGCATGAGCCACCGCTCCTGGCCTCTCTTTCTTTTTTCAACAAAGAATTTTGCACTTGGCCAGACAGGAGAAGAAAGCCCATTTTCTCCCTTCCTAAGCTAGATCCAAATAAAATAAAGTTCAGTTTCCCCATAACCATTCTTGGGTCATGAACTTTGATCTGGAGTTTGTTTTGTTTCAGGCATGTGTGCACCCAGCTTGCTGATCCAACAAAGTCTATTGCTTACCAGCTTGATGGAGCCTTTTGGCCAGAAGTCAGTTTTTTTTGGATCAGAGAAATTTCCTGACAAGGTATATTTGTTTTCTAGTGACAGAAAGGCAAAGGAGCAAGTCCTAGTTTTTTGTTGTTGTTGTTGAATACTAAATTAAGATATATCAGCTTGCTTTCATTGAGCCTTGGGCTTCAGTCATTGCTTGAGCATTTGCAACTCGAGCTTCCAGGGAAATTTGAGGTCCTCGCTTGTTTTCTGCTTTCAAGAACAATGACCTGATTCTGTCTTTAAAAAAAAAAAAAAAAATCTCTGAATCCTTTTTTTTTTTGAGATGGAGTCTTGCTCTGTTGCCCAGGCTAGAGTGCAGTGGCGCCATCTCAGCTCACTACAACCTCCATCTCCCGGGTTCAAGCGATTCTCCTGCCTCAGCCTCCCAAGTAGCTGGGATTACAGGCGCTGCTCCACCACGCCTGGCTAATTTTTGTATTTTTAGTAGAGACGGGGTTTCACCATATTAGCCAGGTGGGTCGTGAACTCCTGACCTTGTGATCCACCTGCCTTGGCCTCCCAAAGTGCTGGGATTACAGGTGTGAACCACCGTGCCTGGCCAAAAATCTCAGAATTCTTTTAAGAATATCTTAATTGCTCCATCAGTAATTTTGAAGTAGAAATTTTGAATTTCCTTTTTTTTTTTCTTTTTTGTCCTTTTCCCCTAGCCACTAATTGGATGGATGAATGTTTGACGGGGAAGAGGAAGGGTGAGAGGATGCATGGATGAGTGGATGAGTGGATCGATAGATATATTGATAAATAGAACCAGTCATCTGAAGCAACTTGAGAATTGTAGCCTTAACTCCTTGAGACTATAGATTTCGATCTAGGAAACATGTAGCACCTGCCAGATGCCAGAAATTTATACCATTTAAAACTCAGTAAGTCTTTTCAACATCAGGAATGAGAGAAGTGACATCATGATACATCCTATGGGTATTAAAAAGCCAATAGAATATTATGAATAATTTTTTGCTAATAAATTTAACAACTTCAACAAAATAGACAAATTCCTTGAAAAATAAAAAGTACCAAAATTCATTCAAGAAGAAATAGATACCAGCCTGAGCAACATGGTGAAATCCCATCTCTACAAAAAAAAAAAAAAAAAAAAAAATTAGTTGGGCATGGTGGCACACACCTGTAGTCCCAGCTGGTCAGGAGGCTGAGGTGGAAGGATCACCTGAGCCCAGGGAGGTCGAGGCTGCAGTGAGCCACGGTCTCACCACTGCACTCCAGCCTGCATGACAGAATGAGGCCCTGTCTCAAAAAAAAAAAAAGAAGAAGTAGATAATCTGAATAGCCCTATATCTATAGAAACTTAATAGTGCTGGGAAATATAGGTATTATTATCCTCATTTTACAGATGTGAAAATTGAGGCTTGGAGATGTAAAGTCTATTGCTCAAGGTCATGTGGCTAGAATATGACTGAGCCAGGATTCAAATCCAGGTCTTCTGATTCTTATTCCAGTGTCCTTTCTAGCATACCATATTGCCTCTAAAGATTGCAGCTCCTCATTTACTAGAAATTTGTTCCTGCCCAATCTACATCTCCACCTCACCCCATCTTTTCTTAAGCACTATGTTTGTGTTTTCATCAGTATTATATTCATTGTCTTTGGAATACATGTTCTTGTTTGTGTTTGGAAAAAAATCTCTTTTACCAGCTTGCACTCGGACCAACTTGGAAAAAAAAAAAAAAAAAAAAGCTTAAATGCTGTTGCTATGTACAGTTTAAAAATGTGAAGTTTGTAGCTTTAACTTTTTGTAAGAAAATCTAATAACACTGGCTTAAGTGCTGACTTGAAATGCTATTTTGTAAGGTTTGGATGTAAGTAATCAATTGAGGTCAGCAGTTTGTATAAGTATGAGACGTAGCTTCCTCCATTGTCCCCACTCCTTTTTTTTTTTTTTTTTAAGTTTGAAATGCTTCCTGTGTTTTTATGTTAGAATTGTTCTCCTTCCTTTCTTCTTCCTATACCTCATCACCTTTGTTTTAAATAAACTGTTCTTTGGACCACAAACCCTTATTAATGAGAACCTCCATATATAGCCTGAATAATGGTGCCGTGAACAATCTTTGTGACATCGACTCTGTGGTGTGTTTATTCTAAGATCCAAAGCTGGGAAGAGAGGTAGGTAAACTTTTGTTGGGCTTCTGCTGTGTGTCAGGGTACTGAGCTAATTGTCAGGAATATAAAGATGAACCAGACACAGTTCTTGCAGAGCATCTGGGGAGTTAACCAAGCACAAAAACACACAACATTGAACATACCATGGTAGAAGAAGTTACAGGGCCTGTGGATGCACAGAAGAGGGAGTGACGGTTCTGCGGGGATGTCCAAGGAAACTCTTCTAGAGGAGACAATATACCTTGAAACTTTAAAAATGAAGAAGAGATGGCTAGGTTAATAAAGAGTAGGAAGTGAAGGGGAGAAGGCATCCTGGACAGAAGAACCCGCCTGTATAAAGCCTCTAGTGTGAGATGTCGATCACCTTGGAATCCTTCATTCCCACCTGCTGCTGCATGAAGCCAGGCCAGACGTGGCCCAGCATTCAGAGGTGGAGCAGCAGGTTCCTGTCCTGTTATGGCCCATTCTTATCCAGGAATAGTTCTCCAGCCTGACCCTGGGTTTTTTTTCAGTCTTAAAATTTGACCCCAGAGCAGAGGGGGAATAGAGTTATATTGAAAAGTAAGTGTAGTTCTCTTGAGTCAAATTGCTATACAGTATTTAATAGAATAGTTCCACAGTCTGTGTGAATAACTGTCATGTTATTCTGTGGGCCTTTCTTGGAGTGGGGTGATAAGTGTGTTTATCGTTCCCTAATTTACTCATCTCACTCCTTGAAATATTTAGTGTACCTTCCTTCCTGTGGCCAGGGTTGATGACAGATGTTCCTTATTGGTCACACTGAGAACCTGTGGCCAGATGAAAGAAAGAAGGAGGGATGAAATAAGTTTATATTTATTAAGCACTTATTATCTGCCAGGCACAATGCAGAGCCATTTAGATGACTTCATTTGTTTTCTCACACACACTCTTAGGTACATGATAGGGTACCCTTTCTATAGACAGATGGACTTTTACAGTGTGCAGTACTGCCCACCAGGGGGTGTTTTGGAAACGTAGGAGAGTTTCTTTGTGGTGACAGCAATTGAGGAGCCCTACCAGCATTTAATGGGCAGGGGCAGGTTTGCTAGATGCTCTGCAATGCATTCTGGGACAGTCCTGCATAACAAACATCTGTCCAGTGTCCAGCACAACATTCAGATGTTCCACTGATTATTAGTTTTGGTGAAAATTTTGTTTATACACATGTGATACTAAACCAAAGTTCATTTACATGTAAACACAAAGTACTTTTTTATGGTTTTACTGTGTGTTTTTTTTTTTTTTTTAAAGAATGAACTATGAAGAATGGAGACTCACTTGTTTGTTTTGTTTGGACCTTTACTAAGAGTTGTTCTCCATTTCAGAAAACCACGTCGTCAGTGGCAGTGATGATTGTGATTTTTGAGTCACTTGTTCAAGATTAGTTTAGATCTGTAGCTGTTGTTTTCACAGAAATTCTATATAACATGTAAACACATGGTAATTTCAGAGAATGATAAAGTACATTAAAAAGAAAAGAACAGGGTAATGGGATTGAGAGTAACGTGTGCATGTGTATGTGTGTGCGTGTGTGTGTGTATGTGTAGGGAGAGATGGCTTTATATAGAATAACGCTTCTGGAGAAACGATGTTTATTTATTTATTTTATTTTATCATTATTATTATTATTATTATTATTATTATTATTATTATTTTGAGACAGAGTCTTGCTCTGTCGCCCAGGCTGGAGTGCAGTGGCGTGATCTCGGCTCATTGCAAGCTCCATCTCCTGGGTTCACGCCATTCTCCTGCCTCAGCCTCCCGAGTAGCTGGGTTTACAGGCGTCTGCCACCACGCCCAGCTAATTTTTTGTATTTTTAGCAGAGACGGGGTTTCACCGTGTTAGCCAGGATGGTCTCGATCTCCTGACCTCGTGATCTGCCCACCTCAGCCTCTGAAAGTGCTGGAATTACGGGCGTGAGCCACCGTGCCCGGCCAAGAAACAATGTTTGTAATGAGACCTGCATGACAAGAAGGAGCCAGCCAGGCTGAGGGAACAGCAAGAACAAAGACCCTGAGATAAGAACAAAAGTTTGGCTTGTTGGAAGAATGGAAGGATTCTTCTCTGGTTGGAACAGCATGTACAAGGTGGGTGAAGGCAAGAATGTTCAGGGCCTTATGGTCCATGGAAAGGGGTTTGGGTGTTACTGCTGATGAGATGGAGAGCCGTCAAAGGGTTTTAAGCAAGGAACTGGCATGATTTATGCATTTTGAAACTATGCCTTCACGAAATAGTGCTCAACTTCAGTCATCAGGAAAATACAGCCAGCCCTCCGTATCCATGGATTCTACATCAACCAATCACAGATCAAAAATATTAGGAAAAGAAAAATGGCCCAGCACAGTGGCTCACGCCTGTAATCCCAACACTTTGGGAGGCTGAGACTGCTGGATCATTTGAGGTCAGGAGTTCAAGGCCAGCTTGACCAACATGGTGAGACCCTGTTTCTACTAAAAATACAAAAATTAGCTGGGTGTGGTGGCGTGCCTGTAATCCCAGCTACTTGGGAGGCTGAGGCAGGAGAATTGCTTGAACCCGGGAGGCGGAGGTTGCAGTGAGCCGAGATTGCGCCACTGCACTCCAGCCTGGGTGACAGAGCAAGACTCCGTCTCAAAAAAAAAAAATTGTATCTGTTTTTCTTCTTATTATTCCTTAAACAATACAGGATAACAGTAATTTGCATAGCATTTACATTATGTATTTTGCATAGCATTGTATTAGGTATTATAAATAATCTAGAAATGATTTAAATTATACAGAAGGATGTACGTAGGTTATATGGAAATACTAGGACATTTCATATCAAGGACTTAGGCATCTGCATGCAGATTTTGGTATCCATCAGAGTTCCTGGAACCAGTTTACCACAGATACCAAGGGACAACTATACAGATTAAAACCTTAATGCATTACTACCGTGTACCCACGATTATAACTAAAATGGAAGAAATAGAAATGCCAGGTACTGGTGAGGATGTGGAGCAACTGGAACTCTTGAGTACTGGTGAATATACCCGTGACCTAGCAATTCCTTCCCTAGGTATTTTCTCACCAGAAATGTATGCGTTTTTACCACAAGACATGTACTAGAATATTCATAATGGCATTTATAATTTTGCCATACCGGAAACCATCCGGATGCCCAGTGGCAGCATAAATAAATTACATAGATTTGCATAGTGGAATACTATACAATAATGAGAATGAGCTACCTATAGCTACTGTGGAAATAAGCAAAAAGGTATTGTGAGCTTGCTACAGCAAAGAAGTCAGCCACTGTTACCTGCATTTTGGCAGAAACTCAAAGGCATACAAAGGAATGGGAAAGCTCTATGGTAGAAAAAAAAGGAAGGCTTCAGGGATGCCCTGTTGGAAGCTGTTGGCATGGGAAAGCTGTAGGAGGGCTAAATAGAAGCAGGACATCCTATGTGATTGATTTAGGGGTGCATATTTGGTTTCTCTGTTTGATCCTAAGTTGGAAGTGGGGACAAAAATTGGGGAAGCTGTCAGTTATTAATCAAGTCCTGACCATTTTGACTTGATTGTTACAGAAGTTAATGTTTAGCTTCCTGGATTGCCACTGGAGATAGCAGTCTGGCTTCCTGCAAGTCTGGCTTATAGCAGGCTGGCATCCTGGGCTATTTATTGTAGATACGGGGTTGGTTTCCTGGGCAGGTTACTGCAGGTTGTGGGTCAAAGTTCTATTTTTATATATATATTCTGGGGTTGTCCATTTGTACATTGAGTCTCTCACTACATGCAACAATATGGCTGTATCTTTCAAATATTTAAATGAAGCTAGACATATCCATTGATGGATGAATGAATAAGCAAAATAGGGCCTACACATACAATGGAATATTATTCAGCCTTAAGGAGGAGGAAATTCTGACACATGCTACAACATGGATGAACCTTGAGAACATTATGCTAAGTGAAATAAACCAGTCACAAAAGGACAAATACATGATTGCACTTACATAAAGTACCTAGAGTAGCAAGGTCTCTTCATAGAGACAAAGTAGAATGGCGGTTGGCAGAGGGAGGGAGAGAGGGATGAGGAGTTAGTGTTTAATGGGCACAGAGTTTCAGCTGAGGAAGATGAAAAAGCTCTGGCGACAGATGTTCTTACACAACAATGTGAGTGTACTTAATGCCACAGAACTTTACTTTTAAAAATGGTTAAAATGGTAAATTCCATATGTATTTTGCCACAATAAAAAAGCCAGACACAAAGTAGTACATACTGTTAATTCTATTTATATACAGTTCAGAACCAAGGAAACCTACTCTATGATGTTAAAAGTCAGGGCACCGTTTACCTTTGTTGGTTGTGGGGTAGTGACTGGATGCGAGTATGAGGAGGGACTATAATGCTACTCAAGTTCTAATTCTTTATTTGAGTGCTTGTTTCACAAGTGTGTTCATGTTGAGAAAATTTATCAGTGTGAACCCTTAGGATCTGCTTTTTTTTTCCCATATGTATTTTATACTTGAATAAACAAACAAGCCTTTTTGTCTTCTAACTCCGCTGGGCTGTTTTAGAAGCTTCCAAGATCATGGATGGGAAGGCCCCTTGGAAACTACCTAGGCCTATGCAGATGTAAGGGGTGGTTACTCTTAGCCCATGAGTATTTATCCCAGCCAGCATCTTGTTCTGATGAATGATCCAATGGAGGCCCAAGGCTTGGCAGTGTCAAGTCTGGATTCAAACTTAGGCTTCTTGACTCCAGTGTTGACTCCGAGACGCCAAGGCCTCAAGTATAAGAGTGAGTCTCTTAGATGAGCAAACCCCTTCCTTTCCCAGTGCCCTCTGCTTGGAATTGCTTTGCCCTCCAGAGGAAAACAAGAGCCCTGGTAGAGGCTGCTGAGCTCTATTT